GCCGCCGGTCCTCGGCGGGCCGTCCCTCTCCATCCCATCCCTCGGCGGTCCCCGCCCTTACCTCTGGGCGAGAGGGTGCCGTCTGCAAAGGGTGCTGGGGAGCGGCGAGCCGTCCCCCGGCCAGGCTCAGCGGCGGCCAGCGACAGCGGGGTCGGTCGCGGGGCCGCTGCTCATGGCTCGTCGCGCTCAGAGCACCGCAGCTGCGGCCACGGAGGCGCCTTCCTCCTAGTCCTCTTCGCGGGCTCCGAGCCGGGACGCAGCTAACGCCCCAGCCTCGCAGCCCTCCGCCCCTCCGCCTCCCCGGCAGCGGATGGAGCCGCCTCCAGCGCCGCCCTGCAAGCAGCCGGGCCAGCGGCAGCCAGCGCCCCCCAGCGCCCGGCCCCGGGGTCGCCGCGCCGCCCACCGGTCGGCTCCGCCGTCCCAGCCCGCTGTGACGCAGGCCACCGGGCCCGGGAACTTCCTCCCCCGCGGAGACCACCCCAAGCCCGGGCCGGCCGCCAAGGGGACTTCCTTCAGAACACGGAAGAAAATCTCCCGCCGCTTCCCGGCGGGGCCACTGCGGCCTCTAAGACGCCCACCTGGCGGCCAGTGCCGGGGGAATCGGCTGGGGCTAATACCTTCCCCCATCCCTAACAATCCGCGGAAAACCCGAGGCTTCCCTGCGCTCGGCGCTCGCTCCACAACCGCAGCTCCTCCCCTGAGTAAGTTAGAGGGGAGCAGCTACCGCTAAAAATAGCCCTTCTGGGAACTCCTCGGAAGGACCGGGGTCAGGATAGAGATAATCTCTCTTCATTATCATCCTCCCCGCACAGAAGAACAGAACGGTGGGAAGGGGTGGTGGGACGCACCGAAGGAGACAGAGGACAAAGGCAAACAACAGTTTTTCTGGACCATAGAGCCCATGAGCCGGTCGCTTGACACCTGAGCTTCCTGTCCAGCAGGAACCCTCAAGTTCCCGGACCTTAACAACAGGGCGCCTGGATCTCTAGGCCGCAAGTTCCAGGGACGCTGAAATTGAACGCTCCGCCTACAGTTTCGTGCTGTGCATGAAGGAGTTGACCAGGCACGTCAAAAGCACCTGTTGTCTAAAGAGTATGGGGGAGGGGTTTTCCCTTTTTTTTTTCTTTTAAATTGATCTGAACAATTTTTTTCTCCACCTTTCCCT